AGGCCATCGCTACTAGGTTTTAAGCCATCGCTACTAGGTTGGAGGCCATCGCTATCATTAGTCCTCTTCTGTCCTCTCATCTCCTATCCCCACGACAACGCCTGACCTTTGCAGGCTCAAGGAGACCAGCTCAACGTTCCGAGCTCCAAAGCCTTGACCGGCCACCGTTTGCAAGGCGCCGGCCACTGCAATGATGATGGTGTAGCCTGTAGGAAAACACAGCCAGGTCAATCTTCCCAGGTGATGGAAGAGATTGACTAGTATTCACAGTTCTTTGAAGAAGCAAACTACGATGACCTTCCTACAGTAATTTCGTCATGAGTCATGATGCTAAGTATGATGTGATACATATCAAATCGTATCAATACAGCTCATCTGAACCTCCCAACCTGTCCCGCCAGCACTACTCCCCGCTGGCACACAGACCTGTCACATTCGCGATGCTCACAGCCAGGCCCAAGGCTGCCAGTTCCAACTGGCTGCGGTGCCCCACAATGATGGCGGCCGTCGTCACGATCAAACGATTTGTGAGAAGCCCCAAACAAACCTGAGCGGGAAACGAATCTGCTGTTGCAGTGAACTGTTGTCGTTAATTTTTCCATGCGTGGTCTGTGTGCTTGATTTTATTGGCCGAGCAAACATGTGGCTTGAGGATGTGGTGATTCAAAAAAGGCGTTCAATGGCAGGAACATTGTTTGCGCAAGTGGCCGACTACTTTGCTTCGAACTATCTGCACCAGACCAAGTTTTTTGCTGCGGCATGCTGCAGCCACTTTGAGGGGCATCGTGCGCTTTCCTGTAACGTCTTTGTTTTTGTTGGCGTCATCGTTGTTGGTGGTTATGTTCGTTTTTATGTGACTGCTGCAATGGGTTTTGTTCATCGCTCTTAGGTAGGAGGTCACGACCATTAGGTTGGAGGCCATCGCTTGTGGCTTGTCATCTATCTGCACTTTTGTTGGTGATGTTGTCCAAGCGACGACGTCAAATGGCGCTCCTGGTGTTGCTCTTCGGTTCCCAGCAGTCGTCATGTTCATAAATGTTGCCATTCCGGTCATTGATGTTGCTTGCTGTCCTTGTAACTTTGTCAAACGGCCTTTTTCCACTCCAAATATAGCCAAGTTGCTGGAGCCGCCAAATACAGCTGCTTCTGCCAGGAAAATGCAAAGAACGGAAAAGGTTTTAAGAACTTGCATGGACACAAACGAGACAGGTAATACTACAGGCTACATGCGACAACACCAATAGCTGCAAAATTTGGAAAAATTGAACTATATAATGTACCACATTGATCCACATTGTGCAACTTTTGTGCCCAACCTTCGGTGCCATCTACCGCATCTACAGCCACTCTGACGTTTGGAGACCCAAAAAAATCAGATCTGGAGTTGATGGTGTTTGCAGCTTTTGCTGCAAAGAACAAGAGCCTGGTGTTTCTCTTTCGATCTTGGATGGTGGAGTTCAACATTTTGCGAAAAAAACTTGTAGCATCTTGTAGAACATCTTGGGCCATCTGAGGCAAGAACAAACCTAAACAAAAAGAACAATGCCATCGTTATCCCGTCCCAGCTTCACCACGTGGGATGTTGGGTCTTGGACCAATCTGTAATCTGAGACATGCACACTGGATTGCAACTAGGTGCTTTAAAACAGTGTTCGCTTTGTGGTGAGTGAAACCTTCTTCCCGAATGCGTAGCGAAGGGTTCTCGTTTAACTCTGGGGGTCTGGTTGTCTGAGCGACCGCAACCATCCGCAAAGCCGTCCGCAATCGTTAGCAGCCGTCCGCAGTGTTGCGCTATGGCTGTTACATCGGGCGAAGCTTTTGGAGAGGGCTTTGGATCGAAGCTAAGCATGACGTTTCAGATTCAGGCGCAGCGGTTTGTGAGATCCGCAGTTTGCTGCGCAGTCAGATTGGGATTGGCGTTTAGAGGGTGAACCAGGTCCAGGTGGTGTTTTGGGGGTGTTGGATGTGGCTGGGACATTGGGATTTGCGTTTCAGGCTGTTGCTTCGATTCACAAGAGCGCCCGACAAGAGTGTGCTACGAGAGTGTCCCACAAGAGTGTCAGACACAGAAGAGTGTCAGTGTCCTACAAGAGCGTCCCACAAGAGTGTCCTACCAGGGTGTCCCACAAGAGTGTCCTATAGAAGTGTCCTACAAGAGTGTTCCAGAAGAGTGTCCGTCCTACAAGGGTGTCCGACAAGAGTGACATACAAGAGTGTCGCAAAAGAGTGTCCCACAAGAGTGTCCTACATGCCACAAGAGTGTCCCACAAGAGTGTCCTACAAGAGAGTGTCAAAAATTGTTTGGCCGTTTGTTTTCGAGCCGTGTTTGCATTCGGGTTCGTGCGTTCCATCTTGTTGCTGGAATCGATGCGTCTCAGAGCTTTTGTCAACAACTCGGGATGTCAATTCAGTTGCTTGGTGCGACACACCCTTTCTTCGAGACTGCCGGACCTTGCCTGGGCCTCGTCTAAAAACTTCTGGTCGTTCAGCTTCTCCATGGCTTTTGGACGCGTTTTGAGTGTCTTCTCGTTTGGCTTGGTAAGGCTTTGGGGGAGTTGTTGTGAAACTCGGCCAAAGCGGGGGCGTGTTGAGTATAGGTCAACCTCAGAGTCTTGCTTCTGGCCGTAAAGAAGGATCCATGTATCGTACACTGAAATATATGTATTATATAACTGCATATATTATATATATATAACTCGCCATGTTTGTGTGAAAGGCTCCCATTCACTTCAGATGATATCCACATGTCCAAACAATTCACATCCTTGATGAAGAAACTTTCTTGATTCATCTTGGTCTCGAGCAGCGGTTGTCGCCGACCTCTGCCCCCAGAAGCGGTTGTCGCTCTGGAGGTCCACAGCTCAAGAGAGCGACGGCGTGAACATCCAACGGTCTGTCCTGTTGAGCAAGGGATTCGAAGAAAAGACTAAAACAGATTGGCGGTCCGCTACTGTTACAGTGTATCCTTTGGTTGACAAATAGGTTTACTTATAGATTCTGATGATTCTGCTTGGATTGTCAGAGTGTCATGTCGAGCGTTAACCGGATGGACCAAAAGGAAGAGCTTAAGTACTTTGTTCGCACCAATGGCTGCCCTTTCCTCCAGACCACGCAGGAGTTCAGCTCGACTCTGGGATCTCACTGTGTATCACAGCTAAGCTCACCACCATGAGGCAAAACTTGCCAGCACTGAGTCGACCTGAGCGCAGCTCACTTGCCGTGAATGCTTCGGCCCCAGTTGTGGATTGACGCGACGGTGTCAACATCAAACTCAATGTTGCTGTTAGGAGAGCTTCCACTCTGGGTGTGTATACAAATAGGCACACAACCAGCGGATTTGCTGTGCTATTGTCCCTCCCAGCGATCCCATTGGAGGGTCTTCTTGCTTTTTGTAGGTACACCTCTTCTCATCCAAGTTCCACGCCAAGTTCCTGTGCATGACAGACTCCGCGGAAGACTCATAGCAACCATCGGCTCGGTAGGAAACGCCCTAGGCCCCAAGGACGAACATAAAATGCCCATGCCTGCACAAAGGACATCCAGTGAAGTAATGAGTATGGCTACGGCAATACGCTTGTTTCAAGAAACAGAACGTTGAAGGTATATTAATCTGACCTTTGCAGCCTGCAGTAATCTGTCTCATTGCATGGCTTTACAGCTCAAAGCCGACGCTTGGGGTACTAGAAGATTTGTCGTCTAAATGACGTCCGGGCAACAGGGACCAGCTACACTCTCCACTGAGCGGAAGACGCTTTGAGCTGCTTTCTGTGTATATACTGTACATGGTTCCCAAGTATATGAATATTTTGTTTACATTTATATACATCTAATCTCTTTAATTACTATCATTTTGTGAAGGCTAAATGGAGGGTGTGTGGAGAAAGGGGGTCAGCAAGAACCGCTTATACGAAGTTAGTGCATCAAAAATACCTTCCACAAAGTTCTGCGAAGGTTTCTGGGATTTCGTTGCAGTCAGTTCTCCTACTGGCCCACCATTCCACGAACTGTCCACGAATAGCCTTGGGTTCTACGAATGTCCCGCGCCTTCCACGATGTTAGTAGAGCAGGTTTTTGCAAAACCCTTTCTGTGCACTACCCTTCCGGTTGCCTCTGATTTTGGACGAGTAGACAAGGAGGCCTTTGCTTTTTCATCTACTGAAATGCTTCACGAACTCAAATCTTAAAAAAAGAGCAGAAAAGCAACACTGACTGCTTGTGTCCTTACTGCGCCAGTTTCCCGAAATGCTCTTTTCTGCTGTGGTTCGTGGGTCTTGGTGAGCTCAGCTGCTCAGCTGCCACCTCACGAGGTCCAGAACCCGCGGCGGCGACGACGGTTCCACGTGCGGCGACGACGGTTCGATGATGTTCGATAAACTTTGAAATGCCGAAGCCTCCTCGATACATCTCGGTACTGGGTGGTGCTAGCACGGCGTAGGACTGCCAAAGGCTTCTAGATTCTGGATCGAACCTTCCAGTGATGGCCCTCAAAGCATCGCATTGAGGCTACGACTTTATTCGATCTCTTTCTCGAGAAGTACAGCAAAGATAGCAAAGCTTCTCCCATTTAAGACACACAAATGTGTATCTTTCATGTGTTGAGGTGACATCATGTAACAATATTGTAATCAGAACCTGCTGGGTAGGTTTACTACACGTAATACAATTCAATATTACAGACTACTCCTTTGCTTTACCTTGCAATGCCTTGAAAAGCATTGATAAGTGATCAAAAAGAAGCTGCGGTAATTGCTGAATTGTCTTCTGCTGTCAGAGTTTACAAAACGTAAAGAAGTGTCAGAATGTCTCAGCCAAGGATCGAGGAGCAGTCTGGGTATCTTTGGGTGTTCCACGGTGTTCCCAACTTGGGGTGCCCGATCAAGACAATCCCGGAATTTCATTCTGTATCATGTTCTCTGCAACAGGGACTGAGATAATTTATGGGGAAGATTCCTCTGATGTCCCGTACTTCCATTCAGCGAGCCATTCCGCAACATGCGATGCCAGCCTCGTGCTGCTCTGGCTTTTGCTGTCGCTCAAAGAATAGCGCCTGCACGCAGCGCCCAAGATAAGCCAATGGTGGGGCATGCTTGACCTGGACAGTTGCCACAATCTGATCACCCTGATTCACTCACAATGATTCCAGTCCATTCCGTAGACTGTGGGAGACTGGGAGACCTGTCTTGCGCCCGGCCGGTCTTTCCAAGTCACCGACGTCCGGCGTCTGCGCCGTGTCTCGGGTCGACGCCGATGGGAACGTATGTCGATTCAGTGTGCTGTTCAGCTCCAGGTCCATCCCCCGCACAAGAGACGTTGAAGCAAGATGAAGCAACCCTGCAAACACCTACCTCAAACCCACCCAACACTGGGTCCTAGGTTTCAATCACCTCAGCCACTGGCTACTGCCGTTTGAATCCGTTTGACTTCCCAACCACTCCGGGTCGTGGACGAGTTCTCGAACCACATCGAACCACTCTGGCCACTTCTCGGCACGACTTCCGGCGACTTCTTGAGGGTCCGGGCATTGGGAGAGCAAAAGTTGATCTCTTTAGGATTTTCATGTGAAAGTTGGTTTAATAAAGGAAGATCATAAAGAGTATACTTGTATATCACCTTGTGAACACATCAAATATGCCGTCATGTCGAACCGCGATCCCTGCATCGGCTCCTTTCACTCGTGATAAGCGATAAGTCATTGATCAAAATGAGATTGTCTGTTAGGCATTTTGCCACAGTCAGCTGTTCGCGCCAGTCATGATGGATGTTAATCCGAGAATCGAGGCCAAGTCGCCTGAGGCTATTGCTCCCCCACAGCGGGCTCCATCGGCCGACCCCTCCGATTGGTCAGGTCCTGCAATATCTGCTTCTCTCCCCTCAGCGGGAGCTCCTGTCGCGTCATGTGTGGAGTTTGCCCAGAACAATATCGGGTAGAATGCGTTGATCTGCTTTGTGAAGTGTTGTGCTTATAGATATAATATGTTATTTGTATGTGATCCTCTCCGGTCTGGCTCAAAAGGCTTGCTCTCATGTTTGTCTGGGTTCTTAAAGCATCTTGAAACATGAGTAATTGTGTCGGGGTGTCTCACTCGCCCTGTGACATGTCTCTGTTAACATAGCTTGCTGTGTTATGCCACCATTAATGATGGGGTGGCGGAAAACCACTTCTTGACGTTGGCATCAAACAGAATTATAGATGATTGTTACTCCTCTTCAGATCATCTACTAGTGAGTACTGCCCACACTGATTGTATGTATAACCCATGAAAAGGAAGTGATAAAGCTGATGGCTATGGCTCAAAACCATTCAAAACTAGGTCCCATCCAAAGTCACTGGCAAAATCAAGAGCGTTCCAAAACCTGCAGGTTCCCGGGTTTCATGTTTTGACACAGCCACCTGAGGAGTCAGGCGAAAGGACCCGAAAGACGAACGCGCTCCCGCCTCCATGCTATCTCGACATGGCCTGCAGACTGTTCCACAGGTGGATCAGGGAATCGAAAGAACTCAACTAGGAAAAATATATGATATACAAAGTTGCACACCAGAGTAGCTATTAGTGAAATGCACTGCAAAAAAAACGCAACTGTAAAAGATCACACATCTCATCTCATCACGTCTTTCATCTGGAGTCGGACGTTGCAGTCGCCCCTCCGGTGTCGTGCGCCTCTCGGAGTTTTGACGGATCAAGACACCGCCAACCTGGCGCATCGGTCGCGACAAATGGCCCGACATTCAGTTCAAAGGATACCAGCTGAGCTGTAAAAGAGAACTAATATACACTAAGTATCATTTCTTAGAGGGTTTTGTTGCTCTCTCTCCCTCCCTCAACCTCTCTCTCCCTCTCTCTCTCGCGCTGAGACCCAACGATTTGTGGACTTGCTGAAAATATTGCTCTGCAATGCTCTGCTGCCTCGCTCAACCTCGCCAAATCGGCTTAGATCTTCAGCGTTCCACTTGGAAGGCGGCTTCCCGCTCACGTCCACCTTGCCAGTTCACAGCATCATTCGGAAGACAACAAACAATTGAATATGCAATGGCGATCTGTGGAACTGTCCAGAAATCATCGCGGTCAGGATTGCTTCATGTTGTCTTCTACCAACTGGGCTGAAAGGGATATCGGATATATCATGCGGGTTTGAGAGAAGTAAACAACATATACAAACCATTACAAACCGAACCGGTAGATCTGATATCGGAGCTACCAGTAGTTGACTCAACTTGGCTCGAGCAACCCTTTCCAAGCCAAATATGTGCTACGTTCTAAGAATTATGAACTATAATAGGTAAAAACACAATAACATGGGCCTGAAACACTGAAAAAGAACAAACACATGTTTGTTCTTGTTCAAAGCCCATGAGGAGCTGCCCTCTTGTGTATAGTATGTGTTCTATTATTCCAACTTTAAGCAATAAATAGGAATGACTAGGTCAACCAAGATCCATAATCCAAATCAATTGCTTGCTGAAATGTTGTTCGCCTGCCTGTGTCTTTCGTCGTTCGACTAGCCTGTTTCTTTCCTTACATGTAAGATTTTCGCTAGAACAGACCTGCTCGCGAACAGCATGTGAGCTGCAAAACCCGGAGAACATGATGACTCTTCTCAGCAGTATGCTCAGTATGGTAGACTTCGTTTGGAGTGTCGACAGAGTGTTTACTGGAAAAGGGCCGAGAAAATGTGAGGAAAGCAACTAATTGATGACAAGGTGGCAACAAGCAATGATGCTGGGGAACAAACCAAGCCCCGAGACCTGGATATAATGACTATATGCGTTGTTTTGTCTTTTGTTTCAAACATATTCCCTCTGGATGTTATTACTCCACAAAGAATTTGGGACGGAGATTGCCTTTCAACTTTCGGACAAACACTGAGACACTATACATATCTTGCGATGCACCAGTTCAGAAGTACATCTGGGGTAGTACTGTACGCAAGAACCTTCAGCTGGTGATGAGCGGGGCAAGGGAAAACAAGAAAAAACTGATCGGAGTGAAAGGCCGATCTCAAAAGAGCATCCTGTTCTACAACGGTCTTATCTTGCAACATTCCCATGGGTTATCGATATGACCTCGTCCAGATTCAGGTGACAAAACAAGCTGAGAAACGTTGTAGAAACGTCTCTTTTTTGCACCAATGCCGGCAGAGAAACCTCGCCTTTCGGCGAAAAGAGTTTGCGCCTCTGCCCCAAAGGTGTACCTTACCTTCTTCATGCATTCACCAACCCTCCCGCAAATCAAGAGAAAACAGACATTGTCATCCATTGAGATCTTGATGTTTACCCCTTTGACATCTGACAGGATCTCATTCTGTGATCATCGAGGTTTCATGACCTTCTTTCCGTGAGAGGATCGTCGCAGGGCTTGCCGTCCGCTGAGCCCGGCTTCGGCAGAGTGCGTGTCACTCCAAGCGGTGTCACTGCGTCATGTCACTCCAAGCATTCGATGTCAGAGTCATCCCCGACCTCGGGCATCTGCCCTCCCCAAATCCGACGAACGAAAACGATGCACTCGAAAGACCGCGGACAGAATATTACTGGCCAAGTAGCTAGTAGTAACAAGTGCCACGCTAGTAGTAACAAGAAGCTAATAGAAACAATAAGCTAATAGCATGGACCTGAAAAGATCCTGAAAGGTCGATGGGCGTCGGTACGATCTACCGCCTCCATGAAAGGCTAGAATCACACACAAAAACATCTCTATAGTAAGTATACTTAGACTTGTACATCTCTTTAGGTATTCTTTTTCAATTATACCCATCCTACCCATCCAGATCTGAGAGCGAAGCTGTGACATCCCCCAAGTCTCTTCGGATGGCCTGTCTCATGAGCTCTGACCTGGACCGACCGCGATCCGAGGTCACCGGTCGTTGTGCTCCATTTGGTGCTGCTGGAACGGTGCAGCGGCACCATTCAGGTCCTTCAAAACGAACTGTTGGTTTGTGAGGTTGAGCCTTTTGAGGTTTCATCACCAGTTGGGTCTCTACTTTGTAGCAACTTCTCTTCAGAATAAAGCTGCTGAGTGCACCATCAGGCAAAGCAATATCAAATGCATAGGTGCAAGTTCATGGTCAAACAAAGTCTAAGGAGCTACAGTACTAGTAGCGTTCTTGCTTCTAGTAGCGATGCCCTTTGTTCCGTTCGTAGCTTCTTGTTCCGTTCGTAGTAAGGCCAGGAGCCCCGATCGTAGCGTCCGATCGCTCCTAGTCGTTGAGTCGCCGAGTTGGGACAACACCCAGTCGCCCACTTCGGAGCACCGCCCGGTGCTCCGCCGGGCGCTCGGTGCCAAGGAACCAGTCGATCGAATCTCTGGAGCTGCACATGGTTCGCTCGGCCCATTCCCGTCGCCGGCGCACCGAGCCTGGGCGAGGTGCTTGTCAATGGACGTGGTGACATACTGTGTAGGTATCCCCCAAGGGAATTAGGGAAAAATGGCTACAGTGAGATGAACCGGCGCAGAGAGGACCTTTGTATCAATGATTCAATTATAATGTAAGTACTGCAAGTTGTTGGTTTCAACATGTGTGATCCAACCATTTTGAGTGCTGCGGTCCTCGGGTGTTGCTGGTCGAGAAACAGTATCCATGAGTGGTGATCAATTGAATCCATGAGCATTTTTCTCAACACCACCCTGGGTTCAGCTGTCAAGCTAAAAGCATCTGCCACAACGGCAACTTTTTCAGGTCCTTTGAGGCCCTGTTTGGAAACAACAGCATATTCTTCCAGCGCTAAGGCTGCCGACACATGTAGGTGAAGAAGGTGGAGTAACCTGCGGCTGGGGTTTGACCCTGAAACGTCTTGGAGATGAGTCACATGACAAAAACACTATCAAACACTGCAGTCTGACTTGCAAGTGACATGGGTGTTGAACATGCGGCGGTGGTATTCTTTTCAGGAGAAACGATATGGATCTCTACCTGTGACACTGGCATACAGCGGCATTCCTTTTTGCGTCCCAGGGCTTTAGTCTGGAACGCACAGCCTACAGTAAATGACCGTACATGAGGATGTCACCAAATTTGGAGATATCGACAACATGGCTTTGGAGAATTCCCGACCTCAAGCGATTCCACTCGGGTCGACGGACAATTCGTCTCTCCTGAGGCACCCCGCTCTCGCTCGCCACGAGACCTTCGAAGACATCGTCATCGTCATCGTCTTCAAAGGACTGGCCGCCAGCTTTTGTGCGTTCAACCGTCCGAGAATCACCCCCAACACAGGTACACTCGAGTAAAATAAAAGTGGACCATTTTTGGCCCCCTTGGATGCTTCCGAAGACCAAACAGGACAGGTAGTGCCATCATGTGCCATCCACTTCAATGTTGACTCGGAGTACAATATCGGCTGTTCTCCGTATATCTCGGTAGAGTTCACGAATCAAGAGGGTCACCCCAATCTGCCAGCTGGGCCAGCTGGGGCCCAGCACCTCTTTTGTGAACATGAACAGCTCACGAACAGTCGGCATCTTCACATATCACTGCAGTTTTGGGGTGTTCAGGTTTTGACCTACATATTCACACCCGACCCACATTCAGCATAGTCAAAAGGGGCAATGACTGGGGCAATGTCCGGGAAAAGATGATGCAAGTTCAGAACGCAAACAATATATATATATGTATAAACTATATTAAAATATTGTTGTGTCCGTCACATGGCCAGCCCACTTGAACACCTTGCATTGAATGCGAACAGAGTGGATCTGTGGATCTGTTAAGTCTACGTCCACTTTGTGGTAGATCAAGTCGGAAAACAACAAAACTAATGGATTTGCAGTAGAACTAATGGCCTACCTTTCGCGGCAGGGGTGATTATGGGAGATTGGCTTTGTCCCGTCGACCCGCAGTTGCTGCCAGCGAGCCAGATAGTCCACTACCATCTGCAAGAAGTTATCCTTGGTCCGGCTGGACCACCGCAGAAAATTTCACCAATTGCAAAAACACGGTGTAGCTCAATGAATAAGATTCATGGCTTGGTCCAGTGATATTTTTTCTGGGTGACTTGTGTGTAGTCATGTTTGCACTGGGTGGTTTTGTGGAGCACTTGTCGACGACAGGTCATCAGCCGGGTCTCCATCTCAAGACCAAAGTATTGCAAATACCTCTCAGCGAAGAGCGTGAGAGTGGAGAATTCAACGAGAAGTCTACCATTTCTGAATGCTGATTTTGTGAACATCTGTGTCAGCTTGTGAACTATATGTCAGCTTGTCATACAGTATATGCATTTTCTGCACCTATCATCCCAGCACGATCCAGCCAGTTTCTGCTTCCTACCAATCTTCTCCCCTGGGTCACTGGTCTGCACGAGCTTCAAAGAGCTGACGATACTCTTCATGAGCCTGCTGGGCAACACAATCTCTCGCTTCAACGACGCCATCGCTTCATAGATCGGCATCCACCAAACCTCCCGGGTCATTATAGCAATCTGGATTAAACAACTCAACATCAAATAAACCTGGAAGCGCCTTGAACATACACCCACCAACCATACCAACCACATCCCAAAGTCCTCGGTTGTCCGTGGGCGCAGGAAAAGACCCATCCAGGGCATCCTTCAACAAACATTCCAGGGAAGCCTCCAGAGACCTCGAGAAGAAGCCTCGAGAAGCCTCAAGATCTCGAGCCTCGGTGTATCTGAGTGGATGCTCCATGGTGGTCAGGAGACTTCCGTCCCGAGGAAACCTCGGCAGCATCAAGCCCCACCACCGATCACCGCCAGCGCGGTGAAGGACTGAATTCGGCCCGTTCGGCGACCACGTTCGGCGGCTATTCAGGTCTTCACGCTGCAGTGAGGAGGGTTTTTCTGTTGACTTCTTTCCAGGTCTTGCTAAAATTGAGCATGGACGTTGAGGGCAAAATAGAACATGAACTGGTACGGGTACCATGGCAAGGTATTAAACGAAACAAGGAGGAAACTGAGCTTGAGAGCCTACAGCCTTTATCTGGTGCATTGGCTGCCAAAAAACTTCCAGGTAGTGACCTGGATTGGGTCTTCATTGTCCCTCGCAGCCGGGACATAGGGAAGTGCCATGAAGTGCCAGAGCCTGGGAAGATCTTGGTGGTAGTAGCAAATATTCAAATGAGAACTTTGAAGGCTCGGGGTGTATTGCAATCCCTAGCTTGCACAACCAGTAGCTCTGAGCTATTCTGGTGAACCCAAGTCAGGCCGAAACACCTGGCCACTTGCAGCCGGGCAACTCCATGCAAACATCCCAAGACCATTCAGCGACGACTTCGATGAAGGACTGCAGGGCAGCGAGTACTTCGTGCTGCAGGAAAGCATCTCCCACGACGTGCGGAACCGAGTAATTGTGGGCTTCTTTAAGACGCAGCGTCCTTGCTCCTGCCCCTAGTAGCTTCTTGCTCCCAGTAGTAAGGCTCCTGCCTAGTAGCGTCCTTGCTCCTAGTTGAATTGGGCCATTTCCTGGACTCGTAACATGTTGGTTTGAGCAAGGGTGACGTGGCGTGTGGCTCAAAGGAGGTGTTCACTGCGAAGGAAGCCACTCGCAAAGTCTCCATATTTATGCCACCTTCACCATTCAATCATCATTGAACCTTTTTGCCAAAACAGGTGCGTAACTACACCTGCGGCTTGCAGTTCATCCTGCGACCACTTTTGCAGACAAAATCAGTTCCTATAACCTAGGACAAGTTTTGTCTGAGAAGGGGCTTGAACACCCCGCTGGGCATACAAACAAATGCAAAATAATAACTACCTGCAACAAGATCCTGCAAGTCCATTCTCCCCCCAAGCCACCTGAGAAGGTTTGTCAAGGCCTATCAGAAAGATGATGTTCTACTGGTCTACACTCAAAAATCTTTCGAAATATGACATCTTCCCCAAATCTCTTCCTATCTGAACCTCTCCAAACTGCAGCTCAACACCAACCTACCCAGACTGGAACAGCCTCATCGCGAAGCCACTGGAGCAGGTTCCGCATCTGTGACGAGGCCTCCCCACGTTCCGCCGTTGTTCGAGGCAAGTGAACCAGAATGGTCACTTGTATGCGGAGCCATTTTTCAGCCCACAAATCCAGAATCTTCCCTCTTTCTTTACTCCCTGACAGCGCTCAAAGATCTTCAAAAGCCAACGAAATAAGTCCAAAAGGGATCTTCTGATGCACAAAATTCGTCTTAGTCGCGTCTTAGTGCCTCCACATCTGAAGGCTCCGGCAGATGAGAGCTGCCTCAACAATAGCAAAGCCCACTGAAGCCTTTCGCACCGTTGATTTCGCACTGTTGAAGCCCTCAAGAACTGGCGTGATTTGATTTCGTAAAAAGTAGCCTCTACTCTTTCTAGGCTCCTTTCTGGGGTCCCTCCTCAAGTAATTATGAATTGAGGTGGGGTGAGCAAATTACTGTATATTTATATGACCCCTTATGAAGGGGATAGTCTCGTAGCCAAAAATGTACTCGAACAGCAAACAACAAAATTGATGACTTAGAAGCACTAAATCAAGCTAAGGCGTGCCACATCTCTTCAGCCAAGTGGCTGCTGCTAACCCCAGTCACATGAGGTGGCGGTGGTGGCACCAATCCCTCCTTGCCAACTGCTTCAGTGATCAGTGATCGAAAACTATCTGTGTGACAATGCCCGCGACCTCTTCACATATCAAGTTGTTTAGTTCAGTCAAACTTAACGATTTTGCTGCGATACTGACGCTCTCAAACTACCATGTGGAAGCCGTGGTGTCGGAAGAGCTTCAGCTGAAAGCGTCTCAAGTGAGGTTGGAGATGTCCCACAATTGCAAAACCTGCAAAACACCTTTTGGAGTGAATGCTGTCCCATGGGCGAACACTTGAGAGTTGCCCTGTTGCAGCAGCTGTTTCATGCTGAATACCGGTTAGTCTAAAACACTGGTCTGAAATTGAATGTGGCACGGCCCGTTGGATGACCCGTTGGATGACCAAACAGATGCCATCGGAGTGTATCGTCTTCAGTCCCTGGGAATCACTGGAACTTGATCCGGACTTGTTCTAAAAAGAACATTTGTAGTTTCTTGTTACTACTAGTAAGGCACTTGTTACTACTAGTAGGGCACTTGTTACTAGTAGCGATGCACTTGTTCCTAGTAGTTTCTTGTTACTACTAGTAAGGCATTTGTTACTAGAAGCGATGCACTTGTTCCGATAGCTTCTTGTTTCTCGTTTCGGATCCACACGGAGCTCACGGTCCCACGAGACGGTATCGCCGGCCGGAGCTACGGAGCAGCCATTTCACCGTCGTTTCTCGTATGAGACCATCCGCATGAATGCTTAGGCTTAGACAACCCAAGGTCTTGAGCTAATACTGGATAAGCGCCCACGCCCACTGTGTGTCCGCATCATTCACCTAATTTGATACTCACTCCGCACCTGGCTATGTGCAGCGAGGCTTGAAAGGAAGGGGACCTGCTCTTTCTCCATGTGTGGAATTGAGAAACGCTTGAGGTGAACAAGCCCATGGCTCCCCTGTATCTTCGCAGATCAGGCTGCATCCTGTTTACCCCATCAGCAACGGCTACGACTCCGTCAGTTTCATCACGACATGTTACACTCACTTTCAAGGATCGTTTCTTTCTTGGGTGCCAGCGCACGGCCGCTCCAAAGATTGGACAAAGTCTGCTGGTCATTCGGCTGCTGCGTGGCGGACTTACAATGACGGAATTGATGCGGCAGTTCTGTTGCAAAGCCCGGTATCGATTCCTTGAGTGCTTGGGCGCGTCGGGTCGATGATGCTATGGCTTGGAGTAGTTTTGCTCTTGCAAGACAGAAACAAGTTCTGCTTGTTTTGCATGGGCATGTCGAGACTTATTGACCTGGTTGTGTTTTGCGCTGATTTTTTGCCTTGATGGAAGATTGGTAGGCGTTTTCATGGAGCACTTCGTACAGCAGATTGGTGGCGAAGTTGCTTACTTCGAACACTTGCGCTTTGGCGCCCCGAAAGCTACCTCCAGGCATCCACGTTCGATGAGCCCAGGCTGTGGCAGCGTTACAAATGCCACGCACACACATGTCTGTGTATCATGCCACAAATGCATATCATGCACTGCACTAGGTCTCTATATCTACAGGCAAGCAGAGTTAAAATGTCCAAGTCAACCACCTTTCTCAACGGCGAAAGCAGCATTTGCATAGTGGATGAAAGAGCCTCCGATAGATGAGCTGAATGAACTCAACAAACAAGATTCCCAAGCAAATCTCCCTCCCCCGCTCCACCATGCTCCACACCTCTCTCTCTCTCTCTCTATCTCTCTCTCTCCAACTCCCTCCCTGTCCTGCCATTCCGGATCTGCCATATCCATCGCAAGTTGGCAACTCAGCCAAATGCTTCAAGCAAATCAACCTGGATTTTGCTTGTTCTCCTTGGCATGTAACATCATGTGGCACACCTTCCATGCTGTGTACCATATGCAGTTCCCATGTGGGAACAAAAGGCTTTGCTGAGCATTCTCCCCAGGCTTGATTTCAACAATTGGATCTCCGCCTCTACTTATTCAAAGAACCATCCTCAAATTAACTGATCCTGTGAGACCATGTAACCAATCGCAGAACGCCCAGTGCCAAGTGAAAAACTGGAACATCTACGGCTGCGGTGCCTTGGGTCCGCTGTTTGACTAGAAACAATTATATAATAAACAAATTTAGCTTCACAAAGCTGGCCTCCAGTTTTCCTCAGACTTATGCTTGGAAAAATAGGGGACCAATGACCGTCAGTGTTGACGTTGCTCTTCGTGGTCGGCCAATTGCATCCAAAGGCAATCTAGGATCCAGTGAGTCCACCTACACATGAACTGCAGTCTATGGAGGTTGGGTGTGTTGGGGTCTGACAGCTATATATATATATATGATTCATATGACATATGTGTGTTCATTCTGTTTCGAACCACTTCTCTTGATCCTGAAAGCTCGGCAAATGATCCTGAAAGCTTGCCACAAACAGGCGGTCGGAGTCCACTCCTGATCCCATCGAGTCACTTAGTACTGGTCCTCACAGCTTCATCAGCTTCGTTCATGGCGAAGCTGATCCTTTTTGGCTTTAGCCATCAGTCTTCATCAGTGCTGGCTGGTGTCCAAAATATCACATCATCTCGCTCGTTTATGCGAATGAACCATCTCACTTCGATCCCGTCATGTGTTGTGCTACGCTCACCGTTGAAGGTACGGGCACCGCCTCGGTACGTGTACCAAGGGTCACCGATTCTGAGACGAGCACGTGCTCCACCTCGGAGAACAGGTTTGACCAGCACACACAACCAAGATGAAGTGAGATGTGACAGGACAGAAAGCGCCAAACAGAAAGCCAAATCCCCTTTGAACAGGACACTGTCTACTTGGGACTGACTTCAACCAAGATTAAAACTTGAGAGAGGAGGGGGGTGAACGAAAGGTAGCAGGGAATCAGGCGTAATCCGGGAGGAGGTGAGAGGCCCCCCACTTGTTTGAAGAGAAGTGAGTGAGCGTGATGAAAGAAAGACTAATGCACAAACGCTTGACAAAACCTCCAGAAGCTGTAGCGGTCTAGCGGTTTCAATACAGGTTGACGTGCCTTCAAAAGGAGTCACATATTTCTCAAATGCAACTTCGGATTTACATAGTGACGTGCGGCGACCCTGTAAATTGCGTGGCCGCAGGCCATGCTTGCAAACAGGACGTGCTCAAAAACACTGGTATTTACGAGGTTTCGTTGCCGTCGATCCACAGCCG